CACATGACCACAGATAGGAACGTATCTATATCTGCATCCATGGGGGAATCGCTCTGCAAATCAAGCAACCCAGACAGCCAGACAAGCCATAGTCGAGCGCGTTGAGACTATGGCGTGTTGAAAGTATAAGATAACATTCGACTGCCCTCGTTCAAACAAACTTTTTCTTATCCTCATCCTCACACACTCTCAACTCGACATCTCAACAGCCTCGAGCACCGCTCAACACTCTTCGGGGTTTTCTTCTCTCTTTCAGTCGCTCTTTTAGCAACAGTCACTCGTTCATCAACAACCTACCGCAACAATGCGCTGCAACATTGCTCTGGCCTTCGGCCTCGGTGCTTCCACCGCCATGGCTTCCAGCCACTTCAAGGCCGCTGCTCGTCAGCCCGTCTACCAGCGCCAGGCTCCTGGCCAGTCTGTCAGCTCTGACCTTCCCGGCCCCTCCTCCGTCGCCTCCTCGGCGGCTCCCGGCCCTTCGGGTGCCCCCGCCAACCCCGGCACCATCGGCGGCTACTCTCTCCTCGGCTGCGTTGGCTCTGACGGCGGCTTCCCCGGCTTCGTCCTCGGCGAGTCCTCCGGCGCCATGACCAACGAGCTCTGCATTGCCTCTTGCCCCACTGGCACCAAGTTCGCCGGTACCAACGGCCGCGACTGCTACTGCGGTGAGGACCTCGGCACTGCCGAGTCCGTTGCCCCCGGCTCTTGCAACATCGAGTGCCCCGGCAACGCCCTTCAGTCCTGCGGTGGCTCCATCGGTGGCGGCGTCGCCAAGCGCCAGCTGCCCCTGAGCATCCTTCTCACTGTCTACGTCCTCGTCGAGCCCGTCCCCGGTCAGGGCACTGTCACCGTCACCGGCACCACCACTGTCACCGACACCGTCACCACCACCTTCACTGGCTCCGCCGGCTCCGTTGTCACCGCCACTCAGACCATCACCCGTACTATCTGCCCCACCTGCGGCCCCTGCCAGGGACCTTACTGCCCCAAGCCCCTCCCCACTCCCGGCCCTGACGCTCACTGCTACGGCGATGACTGCTTCAAGAAGATTGTCTGCTTCGGCGGCTGGTGCACCTTCGACTACCCCTGCTTCGGTGACTGGTGCAACAAGCGCGTCGTCTGCCACGATGACCGCTGCCGCGCCGAGGAGTGCTACGGTGATGACTGCCACAAGAAGGTCTGCTGCACCGGCGACTCTTGCAAGTACGAGACCGACCGCCACTCTGAGGGTGACTACTGGAGCAAGAAGGTCATCTGCTACGGCGACCACTGCGAGGAGGAGAAGTGCCACGGCGATGAGTGCAAGAAGAACTACGTCTGCCACGGTGACGAGTGCGGCCACGAGACCTGCCACGGCGATGAGTGCCACAACACCAAGGTCTACTGCCAGGGCAAGGACTGCAAGGCCGAGGAGGAGTGCCACGACTGCAAGCCTGCTCCCGTCAAGCCTTGGACTCCCGAGGACGAGAAGACCTGGAACAACAAGCACACCGCCGAGTACCCTGCCCAGCCTCAGTACCCCGGCCAGCCCCAGCACCCCGGCCAGCCCCAGCAGCCCGCTAAGCCCGTCACTCCTGTCAACCCCGCCAAGCCCGTCACCCCCACCGGCAACGTCTACCCCGAGGGTGACCACGTTGTCGTTGCCGGTGCCGAGAAGGCCATCGCCAGCTTCGGCGTCATCGCCTTCGCTGCCGCCGCTCTCTTCCTGTAAGAGGTGGTCGCATGTCGACGATGGCAGCAGAATGGTGACACTTTTCCACCTCTCTGCTCTTTACCCCTTTCTCTTCTCTCGCATCTCCAGCCTTCGGGCTCTCCTAGGAACTCGACCGCTCGGATGATGGATTCGGGGTTTCAACTGTGCCGGGCCTGGTAATCAAGAGAAGCAATCCACTGGGATACGCTTCAAAGGCTTGCGGGCGTGATTGTTGCTTAGGTAGTACAATGAATCGTTTTGAAATTATTTCTTCTTCTTCCCCGTTGTGCACGTGACTTGAATCCGCTTGGAATCTTGAACAGGAAGCCCAACAGTGAGTGATTCGACTGTGCTGGTGCTGACAGCCTTGTTGCCAGTAACATCGAGGAGCTTGACCTATGGGCGATTCGATTCGCGGCGCTTGCCCAACACACTTGTCAGTTTCTGTCTTCCTATCCGACTTGGACTAACAATTCGGACGTTGTTGGGTGTCGAGTAGAGAGACACAAGGGAAGATGATCCCTACGTCCTCAAGTGCCACACGGGACATTTTGCTCCCATGTCGTCAGCTTCCGGCCATCTAAGCCGCACCACGACCAAATCGCCACGAGGGAGGCTTCTGAAACTCGTAAAGGAGATGACGCCTCTCGCTTGCTGACAGGTGCTGCAGTGAGATGCAGAGGAAATGAAAGCAGAGCAAGAGGTGACCCGGATGTACCTAGGTAGAGAGAAAAGCGAGTATGCAGGTAAAAATGCAGGTGCAGTCGTAGGCGCAGGCAGGATCGAAACGAGGAAGGCCACCGCCACCTTGAGAGGAAGAGGAAAACATCGTCTGGCAGGGAGGGCAGGTTCGTCCCGAAGAAGGTCGCGCCACCACAGGCGTGCTTGCCCCTCACAGCCGAGAGATCCACAAACTCCTGCAGGGGCATCCCACCAAACCCACACGCTTGACCTCAACTGTACAGCGCGCCGCCCTTCCCTGTACACGTACAGGTATTCGCCTGTTCGCCCAGCTACTCTCGCCTCCTGCACCACAGACCCCTGGATCTCTCTCGTCTCGCCCACTGAACCAACTGCTCTGCATCCAAGAACCAACTCGATCCTGGACGAACCCCCTCGCTCCCCGGCCTCGTCCTCGTCCTCCTCCTCCCTGTACCGCCACCAAATCTTCTTTTCTAGCGCCAAGACTATTTCAACGCCCTGCGCGCGCCGTTACCCGTTACCCGTTTCCGAAGGCCCGCCATGACCCTCTGTTCGGATATCCGCCTCTCCCTTCGCCTTAGGCGTGTGAGATATCGGGAGTGGCTGCGGCTCGCCGTTGAGGAAGCCCAGAAACAAAATGGAATATGACGACGCTATACCTACCTCATTCGAACATCTTGATCGCAATCGATCTCTGGACTCTTGGCCTACGTTCATCGACGAGCGTCACAGACCCGCTCGTTGCATTGAAGAAGGTTCCTGCCCCCGTTGGCCATGTGGGGAGCACCAACGGCCTTCATCTAGATCAAACTGTATCTCGGCTCACTGACCTGCATGACCACCAACAGCCGTCACATCTTCATTCGCCATGCCTGGTCGCTGACTCGTTGACTGGGATCGCACCTGCACTGCTTGGGTCAGCAGAACACCCGGATCAACGGGACTGCATCTTTCGGCAAACAACACGTCTCCTCGCTTTCAGCCGTATCTCGACCCGAGTCGGAAAAGGCCGAACCGACAACCACGATGCCTGGTAGTCGAGGCCAAGCCCATCGCAAGACAGGTCGAGCCTGGATATATTGCGCCCCTCCTTGCCTGCCTGCTGCATTTTCCTTGATTCGGACGCCTGCCGACGCGGCGGGACGACCGGAAATTCACAGCTGCGGGAGAAATGAATGTCCGTCAACACCAAGCTTCTTGGCCAGATATAGTGATGCCTCTGTCTGAACACGTGTATACGGCTTCACTGTGTAGCCGCAGCCGCCAGCGCTTTGCTCTGGTCGTGCTGGGCATGCTGGGCGAGGCCAAGCTTGCGGGGGGCACCACTGGCGATGGGCTGCAAGTCTTGTCCTGACCACCCTGCCACCCAGGCAAACGGCCCGCTAAATAGCGTCCAGCTCTCCAGCCGGCAACTGAGAAGAAGCTCATTTTCTTTCGTGGATCCCCGCGACGACGACCCGCCCAGGCCGTTTCCAAGCCATCCCCCTCATCGCAGACCCCGGACCTCCACGCGCCAAGTCTCTCGCCAAGATACGGCAGCGGATACCGCTTCAACGTTGATCTGGTCCCGGACCTTAATTTTCCACGTCTCGGCCACAGCCAAGATCGGTATCCTCTCCGCCAACCGACTTCTGTGTGGCCAATATCGTTGCATTGCCCTATCCGAGGTGGCCTGAATCGCTCTAGCCCCAGGACCTTGACAGGCAGTAGGATGTTGTCGACAGCACGCAGTCACGACCGCTACCCCTGGCGGTGATTTCGTCCGCATTGCCAAATGACCTCGTAGTTGATTGGGCAATTGGGAGAAGGATTGCATGTGTCAGACGCCATGGGGACCGCCGCATTTTCTTGAAGGGCTTCTCGACGCGTGTATAAAGTGAAGCTTGCCGACGCGACCCCCCATGGCCTGCCTTTCCTTCCTCATCGTCGATTCTCTCTCTATGCGACGAGCATTTTCTTCTTCAGCCTCTCAAGATGAAGACGTCCGCCCTCTTCTTCGCCGTCGGCGCCACCGCCGCGGCCGTTTCCAAGGTCGCCGAGCCCATCCTCGAGACCATGGCCGACTCGTGGATCCGCAACAACAGGGAGACCCAGAGGGCCTACTGGTACGGCCGTGCTGTCGTCTACAATGGCTACGAGGCCGCCTACGAGCTCTACGGCAACGAGACCCTCCTTTCTTGGTACCGTGCCCAGATTGACGAGAAGGTTGTTCTGGAGAACGGCACCATTGTCGGTTTCCGCCCGGAACACTACTCGCTCGACGACTACCGTATCGGTCTCAACTTCATCTACTGGTACGAGCGGACCGGCGAGCAGAAGTACGCCACGGCTGCCGCCACCATCCGCGGCATGCTCGATCGCCACCCCCGCACGCCCACTGGTGGTTTCTGGCACCGCTCCCCCATTTATAAGAACCAGATGTGGTTGGACGGCATCTACATGGCCGACAGCTTCTACGCCAAGTACACCGAGGTCTTCGAGCCCAACAACTCCACCGCGTGGGACGACATCATCCTCCAGTACGATAAGATCGAGGCAGCCACGCGCGTGCCCGAGACCAACCTGCTTGTTCACGGCTTCGACGAGGGCAAGGAGGCTGTATGGGCCGACCCCGTGACGGGCGCCGCTCCCATTGTTTGGAACCGCGCCGTCGGCTGGTACATCCTGTCCCTGCTCGAGACGATCCAGGTCTTCCCCAAGGCGCACCCCGGCTACGAGCGCCTTGTCAAGTACTTCGTCACCCTTTCCGATGGTCTGCGTCGCGCCCAGGACCCCGACTCTGACGGCTGGTGGCTCGTAATGAACGAGCCCTACCCCGGCCAGGAGGGCAACTACTTTGAGGCTTCCTCCGCCGCCATGTTCACCGCTGGCTGGCTTCGTGGTCTGCGTCTCGGCCTCATTGACGAGAAGACCTACCTCGAGCCCGCGTCCAGGGCCTACAAGCACCTCATTGATGACTTTGTCACCCGCCACTGCAACGGTACCATCAACTTTGAGGGTACCGTCCAGGTCGGCTCGCTCAACAGCGACGCCTCTTTCAAGGTAGGAACACCCTCGCCATCTCAGCTGCGAATCCGTGACAGACCGTACTAACGCGCGAATCCAGTACTACACTGACATTCCCGTCGTCCCCAACGATACCCGTGGCGTCGGCCCCTTCATGCTTGCCGCTTACGAGTGGGAGCTCCGCCACAAGAAGAACTAAACTTGCGGATTTGTAATTACAGCGCGCGCGCCTGGCAGTGCCCCCGAATGGGCAGAGTTTATCTAGAGCCCCAGACCGCGGGGGATTGCACGCGTCTGGCCTGACGAACAATGGCCTTGTTACTATAGAGAAACACAAACGCGTGTCAATAGAAGTGTGGTGGAAAAACTTGCCCAGGTTTCTTCAAATTGGTGCCCTCAGTGTCGTGCTGTAGTGCCGTGCTGTAGATTCTCATCAGGGTCTCCTGCGGGGTGTCCTTCTCTTGGCTGTGCCTCGGCTGCATTTGACCCGGCATCGATGTCACCCTGGACAAGACCCTGTCCGTGTTGAGGGCATGTTCGAATGCGTGCGTGTATTCTGTGAGGAGTTTGGTCATAGGGCCGTCAATGACGGTATCGCAGTGAATTGAGACAAGAGGCAAAAAGCGTCTCGTTATGATGCAGCAAGTATCGCCATTCCATCTCTTGAGACTAGAAAGATTCGATCAGACGACATGTATCTTTTTTTGTTGTAAAAGAAGCAAACTCCAGTGATCATGCGGTCTATGATCTTCGCCCCCTTACTGCCAAATCCATCCGGGCAAGCTCCGCCCCGGACCGCAAGCATGAATATGTAGCAACCACAGTCTGCCAGGGAACAAAAGAAAACCCCTGACAGCCCTTCAAAAGCTCCTGGAACGCCGCGGGAAACATCTCCGTCATATCAATCTCCACGCCTTGAAGCTCAGCCAATCTTGACGCGGAGCAAGTACCGAAGACGGACCTGCGAGACGTCGTACGTGATGAACTCGTTGTAGAGAAGGTGAGCGTTGTCGACTTTGGTTTTGCCGGGCTTCACGCTCAGATCGGGCTGGGAGAGGGGCGTCAGCATCTTCGGTCTGCGTCGGGAAATACATCTGGACCTACCATCTTGATTCCCTGTAGAGACGGGTGAACCTCGCCGGCATCCTTCCACTTGAGCGGGCCTGTGGTTCCCTGACCCCAGGTAGACAGGAGACCCTGCTTCTTGGCGTCATCGCCAGCGTTATAGCTAGAGCCAGTAAGCTTCTGCATCGGATCACCGAGCTCGGCCTCGCAGAGTAGCAGGAGGGCCGTGTTGTCCGACTGGTGGTGACAGCAGTAGTTGGCCGACTTGGACGACATGTCCGCGAGGTAGATTCCCTTGCCAAACATGTAGCCCGTCACGGGTGCTTCGGGAGGTGCGATGCGTAGACCCTGGCTAAGAATACCGCCAAAGTTCGTCGTCCGGGAACCGTGCCACAACAGGCGCCTGTCTGAACCAGTCTTGGAAAGATTGAGCTTGTTGAAACGATCCAGCTCGCCCTGCCTCTCAATGCGGAAAATCTGCTCGACCTTTTTGTACTTGATGTAGTGCGTGTCACCCCGCGTCTCGGTCAGGTAGTTTGAGAGCTGCTCAAACTCCGAACTCTTGGGAGCGAGCGCCGTCATCTCGTCAAGGCCAAGAGCCTGGAACTGCTTGTCAAGAGGGTGAATATCAGACGCGCTGGTCTTTTTGCGGTCCATCTTCATAATGTCGGCAGCAGCCTTCATGTCCGACAGACTCTCGAGAAGGTCAATTTCCCGTTTGAGTTGAGCGGTCGTGGCGATGACCGGCGGACGATTGCGGCCAAAGTCGTGTGGAATGATGGAGTAAAATGTGTTGGAGAGGTATTCCGTAGCGGCGTGGGCCGTCATGTTCCACTTGGACTGCGCCAGCGTGCTGTCGTCCATCAGCTCAGCCATATCCTTGAGGAACTGAAATCCTCGAGAGATGGTCGTCTTGCTGAGCTTGCCGAGGGGCAGTTTGTTGGCGTCGTAGTTCAGCTCTGTCATGGTAGCGGCAAAGTGAGCCTTGTTAAAGATCAATGCCATCAGGTCCTGAACGGCGGGCTCCAGTTTCGACTCGATCTTGACTTGCTCCTCGGTATCCTCCTCTTGAGCTGATGTTGGAGCGGCAGCCTTGGTGTCGTCTTCGGCGTCGTCCTCGTCATCAGAGTCGGGGGCATAGCTGCGCTCGACAAATGCATACTTGCCAGGCTTGGGGTTCTCGGCACGGTCCGCCCAGCGCAGGCCGCTCTTGTCCTTGAACTTCTTCTCAAAGTTGCGAAGGGCGTCGTCGAACCCGCCGGAACCGAGAAGGGCGCTCTGACCAAACTCACCAACGCGACCCCATCGGGTCCACGTCTTGAAAGACGAGCCGTCCTGGAGGAGCTGAATTCGGTAGAACTTGTTGTTGTTGTTGCTCGAGTTGGACTGGTTCAGCGAGGCATCGTAGATCATGCCGCTAGGGTCGATAAAGACTTTGTAGACATCACTGACCCCCTCATCCAGCGGAACGACCATGTCCGTCGACTTGGCAACCTGATCGACGACGTCGGGCTTCTTGTCCGCTGGCTTGGCATTGGTGGCCTTCCGTTTTTTCACCGGAGCCTTTTTCTTGTCCTCGTCGTCGCTATCACTTTTGACAGCGACGATAGGCCGTTTGCGAGTGGCTCCGCCGTTCCGTGAGCCATTGGCGGTGCCATTGGATGCGGCTGGTGCAGGTGCTGGTGCTGGGTTGGCGGGTGGCGGCGTAGTTGAAGCTGCCTTTGCGGCAGGGGCAGGGTCCGCATCAGAGTCATCATCATCTTTGAGCGCGAATTGATCCTCTGGGGCCTTGCTATTGAGACGCTTTGATTCGTTCACCCACTCAAGACTGACGACGAGGCAATCCTCCTGGGCAAGCGCCTGACCGACCTTGGCGTTCGATTGGTAGTTGGCCTGCGTGACAATGACGTGCGTGGTCTTCTTGGTGACTGTGGTAGCTACCGTCGCACCAAGCGAGCGGATTTCGCCAGACAGCTCGGCCTGAGTATGGCCCGGGAAGGAGCCGCCTAGAACGACCACACACCCATCCAGTGGCGATGTTGTTGCTGCTGGGTTGTTGGCAGCTGCTGCAGAGGCGGCTGATGACCGAGTGCGACCCATCTTGTGCTGGGGTCAGGTGGCACCGAACGGCTACTCCTGGAATAGAATGAGATGACTGTTGAACTGCGACGTTTGAGTCAATGGACCGTTGGTGATGATGAAAGGATCGAATGAGTGCCGGGCCAAGGTTGATGAGGATGGATCAGCACAACTGTTGGCATGCATTTGTGTTGAGACGCACTGATGAGATGGAAGCAGCGCCCGTCAAGGCTGTAAGGAGAGGTATCTTGGCCGAAGGTGCTCCAATGCCGTGCTTTCCGTACCTTTGTGGTTAGTCACCTCTGAAGCAGGATCGCGAGGTGGGCCGACGTCGCTCGGTGCCGAAAAGGGGGATGAGTGGTGGGGTGGTTGAATTGGTGGCGTCTTGTATTTCTAGCGTCGAGGCTGAGCTCTTGTTCGCGCCAGGCGCCAGGGGGAACTTGATGAGGGCGACCCGGGAAGGTACATACTGGGTAGGTTGGCAGTTCTCGCTTCGTGTTGTGTGACTGTAATGACTACTACTGGGCTGCGAGCTATGACGAAACCAAGAGGTCAATTGGGGATGGTGTAGCTGCGAGACGGAATGTAAGTGGTAACAGGTAGCAATGCTGGTAGCGAGAGTGGCCTGGTCGCTATCAGACGTTTCAAAGCCTCTGGGAGGAAGAATCCCCAATTGATGTCCGGATGGGAATGCTCTCCATTTAAACATTACGTCTCGTACCAAGGAAGTGCTGAAGGAGCACCATCTTTATCTTGAGCTTCGCTTTCCATGGTCGCTTGGCTCAGGTCGGGCAGGCACCAGTCGCCCCTTATGGGTCCAACCGCGCTGGTGCCTGGACGCGACGCGAGGCAATACTTCAGCTACCTACCGACACGAGAACACGTGATGGACCGTCTTGCCAGCACGACTCTAATAATCCCTGAGGTAGAGAATTATCGTGACTCCACGTTCATGGCACTGCTGCCTGGACTGGTATCATGTAAGTACGAATCCAGGTCTTGTGGTACAAAGCTGGCTGAAGCCAATTGACGCCATGGGTATCAATTGAGCACAGCCAGGCAATTGACGCTTGAATGCGTCGGCTGCCGCCCACCTATCGCTTGCAGTTCAGGGCGAGGTGACAATGTTCGATAAGTCAAATAGTACCTAGGCGAAAGTATTGCGCAAAGGGCACCGAAGAGGGTCAAAAAAAGGTTAATGATTGCAGTGACATGCTGAATGAGCCAAAGGAAGTAATGCTCGATTAGGTACACAGGCCAATAACCACCTAATAGAGGACGGCTATTTTCTCTGCCCTTATAGGCTATTCGCTCTACCCGACCAGGGTAACTACATGCTAGATAAGGGTTAAGTTCCAAATATAGCTCTACTACCTAAATTAGCTAGGGTAATTATATACCTTTACTTATCTCCTATATATATAAGTCTCTTAAAGAGTCTCTTAATAAAGTTGTTACGACCTGGCAGCTTCCGAAGGGGGAACACTGTCAGAGGGTTGGGGTTGCTGTTTGCAGAAGCTTAGGTTGTGACTCTGAGACGATGTGGTGTCGTAAGGCGTTGCGCACTCGTTACAATGAATACAAGGTAAGACTTAGATTGATCACTGTCGTGAGAAAGAATGTATCTACAAGTCCAGAATGTCCGTCCTTATATACCTGCCATCCTGTCCTTGTTGTGTTAGGTGGTGAGCTCATGTTGGATGGCTCACTGGTTAGTTGTTGGTGATCCATGATGTTAGGATCACGGTGTGTTATCCCGTGAGCCATTCCCTGGCTCACTGCGGCGTCCTTGGTGAGCCCGACGACTCACCCTTTATGTCTGAGTGAGCCATCACGTGATTTGCCAGGTGGGCCCGATTCTTATCTTATCGCGCTCCCTGATCGCGGGGTCGTCGATTCGCGGCCGCCCTGCTTCCTTGGTTGTTACAAAAGTCTAAGCTAAAGATTAGCTATAATTAGCTAATAAAGTAACTTAAATAGCCCCCTAAAGCTTTATATTTATTAATACCCTAAAATATAGTAATACTACTAAATATACCTATTATAAGCCCTCTAGATATCGCTAATACCTTATTTTATTATTAAACGAAGCCTCTTTAATACCTCCTTTACTAATAGACTTACTAATTATTACCGAGCTCGCTACTAAGCCCTTTACTAAGGTTCCTATTATCTCCTTTACTATAGATATATAATACCTCTCTACGACTATAGCTAGAGACTATAATAAGTAATAAGGAGGGTTCTAAATAACCTCTAATTAAGGCTAATTTATTATTTATTCTAGTCTTTCTAATATCCTAACTAATAATATAAAAAGATTAATACTAGCTACCTTAGGCTACTAAGGGCTACTATTACCTATTTAGTAACTCGCTTACTTTACTAGTAACTTAAAGGTATAAGAGACGAGTAGAGGTATATAGTTGCCCTAGCTAATTTAGGTAATAGAGCTATATTTCTGGCTTATCCCCTGTCTAGCGTGCATGTACCCTGGTCGGGCAGAGCGAATAGCCTACAAGGGCAGAGAAAATAGCCTTCCTCTACCTAGTAGTGCTTCAGGCCATTCGAGGCCTGTGCACCCATATGATCAGTATCAGGGGTAAGTACCTAGGTACCAAGGGGGAACAGAGTAAGCTGCCTGGGTTGCTAGGTACACAGTACCTACCTTACCTTGTGGTGGAGGGGCGTAGCGTGCAGCTTGCAGCCTAACAGGTAAGCTCCACTGACACCCTCCACCCCACTATGTCTAGGAATCTAGGTAGGTGCCTCTAGGCTTGGTAGGTCCCTTTGTGAATACTTCAGCGACGTGAACCTCCTTCCTCCCCTTGAAATACAGCACCACCAACCCAACCTCATCAACAACTTTACTCAAATGACCTAGACAGGTAGAGAAGATAGCTATCCGGTGATCAAAATGGCGTCTCAACCACCACAACTGTCGGCTTCTGGGGCCACTTCTTTCGGCAAGGTCCCACTTGAGGTCTTCCTTCGCATCACAGACCACCTCACCACGGTAGAACATGGCAACCTACGCCTGACCTGTCGGTCCATTGAGAGGTCCCTTTTCACAACCTTCAGCAGAGAATTTTTCAGCAAGAAGCAGTTCATGCTCACCGAACACAGTCTTCAGGCTCTCATCGACATGTCGACCTCGCGGATTGGTGACTGTCTCAAACACATCATCATCGGCCTGGACTACTACAAGGAGGGCCCACCAGTGCATTCACAAGCAAAAGCCACACTCTACACCGCGGGCTGCGATGACCAACGGACGTTTCTTTGGACGGGGCAAGCCGTGCTCATGCTGACGGAGGCCTTCCGCAACCTCCAACCTACCGTGGTAGGCATGCGGGACTACGCATCCGATGCGCGCCAGTTCCGAGACGGCTCGCGCGCGAAATGGGCGAGCTACGGCGCGACGACTGTCTGGAAGGAGACCGGCGTTAGCCTACTAGGTGGAAGTGGCTATGATGATGAGGTCGTCAGCGTCTATGCCTCCCAAGTCTTCTCCATCATCTTGGCTGCTCTGGCCGGCTCAGGCGCCACACCGACGACTATTGAGGTCCTTCGACACCATCACGGCCGTCTTCGTGCGACCGCCTTCAACATTCCGAAGTACCTCAAGCCGTCTCTGCTACCCGTGCTCTCGAGAATAGAGACCATGTTTCTGCCGTTGGATGTCGTGAGAAAGCGCCATGACTGGGATACAAGCACTCCGGCCCGCTACGCCAGCGCCGATGGCTCGGAACCCGACATGGAAATATGCCCAGATTACCTCTTCCGCGTGTTCCTCTCACATCTGCCCAACCTCAAACACTTGCGTCTCAACTTTCACCGCAATGATACACCAACCGACCTCCTCAAATGGCTTGCCGATCCAAGCCCTGACAAGTCGGATACTTCCCAGCTTCCCGCAACGCCCAACGCCCCTAACATTTTGCGCTTGCCTCGGGCAGTCGACTTTCCTTGTCTTGAAAGCATCGATTTTGGCATCCTCACCATTGACCAGGAATCGCTCCTCAACGTCATTCGCAAGTTTGCGCCGACGCTCAAGGGCGTCGAGCTGTGGAAGGTCACACTCGTGAGAAACAGCGTCGAGGCCAGCGACGTGCCCAGCCGGCGCAACCTCTGGAGGCAGTTCTTCGGCAGGATGCGCCTCTTCGACGGCCTCAAGCTGCAAACACATGACGGTTCGGCCAGGCGCTGCAACGGTTGCAGCATTCAGCGCAGCGCCGTTTACAACGTGACGTTCAAGTCCCTGTCGCGTGGGGGCACGACGAACGCGATTCAGAAGCGCGCCTACCAGGGCAATGAGTGGGACGAATGGATCCAGGACATGGCAGCCGATGTCGTCGTCGAGGGCCGTTCCGGTGTAGGTTTAGACGATACGTTGGATGATAGCTCGAGCGATGATCCGGCCGTGGACGACGAAGATGATCGTATGTGACCGCCCCCCCCCCCCCCCCCCCCCCCCTGCAGTACTCTTTTTACGAGCGTGCGCGTCACTTATCTGGTCGTGTCTGACTTTTGGTTCTCTTTTCCTTCTAGCGACCTTGGACGAGATGGACGAGGATGATGACATGGGTGATGCCTGAAGCTGACAGTGCCCTTCTTCTTTTCTCACAGACGAGCTCTTCGCGAACGAGGAGTGGGATGACTGGATGAATGGCTACGATGGCTATGAGCTTGGTGCGGCGCTGGACGAGATCTGGGACGCGGGGTTCAGCCCTACCAATATGCTTTAGCATGCCAACCTGCTATAGATGATTCACGTTCAATGAGATACCTCGCAGCGGCCAAGTGCTGTTTCGAAGTTGCTAATGAGAGCGGTGGCCGCACATGTCGCTTGGCGGATTGCTTTGTCATGAGTTTCACAGACGCTCTTCTACATGTACGCCAGTCACGGCGTTCTTCTATAAGGAGTAATACATCGTGCCGAGTCCATTCAATGTTGCTAACTACAGCTCCAGCGATAAAGACTCGTCCTCCTTGGCAGCCTTGGCCTCAGACCACGCATCGACCCAGGCCTTGACAAACGCGAGCTCCGCCTTCTGCACCCTCCGCACCTCGCTCGGCGGCAGGCTCTCTCCATAGCCCTCTCGCGCATCCTTGCCCGAGACGCCATTCTCGTCCCAGTGGTGCACCGCGCCGCCGCCCATGAGGAGAAAGGGCTCCTCGGTGGTGCTCTCGCGCTCGGGGAGGCCGATGCGGTGCGGCGTTGCCGCGCGCCAGGGATCGGCTTCTCCGTCGACGATGGCGACGCGCGGGTAGGAGAAGCCGAAGCCGCCGTGCCTGTTGATGCGGTGTACGTCTGGGAGGGTCGTGATGTTAAAGGCCTCGCGGCAGGGGAGGGAGGTGTAGTTGAGGTCTATGAGGCGGGAGACGAGGGGCTTCTGGTCTGTGGGGACACCAGAGCCGGTCTGGAAGTAACCCCATCTGCGTTGGAGCATGTCAGCAAGCAAAGAACGTAAATGCAGGAAAAGTGCAAAAAGAAGATGGGTGACGTACTCGGTGCAGACCTGCCAGAACCAGCTGCGCTCCATCCCCTGATCGAGGTCGGTCCTCTGCCAGCGCTCGTTGCCCCGGACAGCGAAGCACTTTTTGACATGCCCGTCGGGGCAGGCACTCTTGACATCTTGCCTAACGTAGCCGATAAAGTTGAGCAGCTTGACGGTCAGCCCCGCAGCGCTCTGCGACTCATCATCCGACACACCGCCAGCGTGAAGCAAGCGCCGGGCCGTGCCCTCAAGGTGGCGCGTGCTTGCGAAGAGGAGGTCGTCACTGCGCAGACTGCCACAGTAGAGCCCGAAAGACGAGCGGTCGAGGGCCGGGTCCCAGTTCTGTCCCTGCAGCTGGCTGATGCCGGAGGAGAGGACGCTCGCAAAGTCGTCGTCGTGCGTCAACGCCTCAAGGCCAAAGGCGCTCTTCAAGGCGCGGCGGTCCGTCTCGGTGGCGGGGCCGCGGAGCGTCAGGATATTGTCGACAATCTCGATCAGCGTGGCCGTCACGTCGGCGCAGTCGGCGGGGGCGTAGCGCCTCGCCGCTTCGTAGTACTCCCAGTAGTCAACGATGGCCTGGGTCACGCCTGAGCTCGAGATGGCGCCCCAGAAAACATCTGGGTAGAGCTTGCGCAGGAAGGCTGCGAAGGCGCCGGCGTAGGAGCCGCCGAAGGCGATCCACGGGACGTCTGTCGGGCCGAGCTCCTCGTGCTCCAGGTCAGGGAAGGTCACATGCTCGGCAAAGAAGGCCGTGTCGGCAAGGGCCTGCTCGGTGGAGAGGAAACGCAGGTTGGGGATGGAGACATTGGCGACAGGGAAGGACGTGCCATAGTAGCGGTGCTCGAGGACGAGGCCCAGGCCGTGGGTGGCCTTGGCGAACATTGCTATGATGCCATGGTCAAGGTAGTCTAGGCGGTCTTCACCGGTCATCTCCCCAGAAGCGAGCAAGAAGACGGGGCCACCAGGACGGTAGTGTTTCTTGTTGATCCAGTATCTCAGAGGGAACGTGTCATTGGAGTGCGGTTCATAGCGGGTCTCATTGTGGAAGTGGTCTACTGGAACAGACAGGTTGAAGGGCCCAAGTACAGCATCCTCCTTGAGGGTGATGCGAGGTTGAGATGTCTAGATGTCTTGATCAGTCAAGGGACTGGTTGGTGGAGGTGGCGAGCTCGGGTGCCCCGGATCCCAACTTGGGCCATGGCTCTCTCGAAGCCCGAGTGAGGCCTAGAAGTCATGAGACGTACCAAGGAAACATGCTCAGTGCCGGAGATGAAAGCTGCTGCCAATGGTGCTGTGGCGGAGATGACTGTCAAGGCAGTGACCAGAAAAGGCCTCATGATCGTAGCGAACGGAATGTGGTGATGAATTAAAGCGGCAGGGGCGGGCGAGTGGGAATGGGTGAACTCGAGGGAGAAGGAGCAAGCTCACGATCACGAGGGTAAGAAGCGCGTCGGTGCCTGCAATGTCACGTCACGCACGTCATGGCGCTTGCCTGTGAGGCCACAAAAGGGTGTTTGCTGTCGGCCGCTGCCTTTCCAGGTGGCAGGCGCCTTAGGTAAGCCCTGTCATGCAGGAACGACTGCCGAACCAAGGTACCTGCCGACGCCAACAATTCAACCCCACCTGCCGTTTCCGACCATTCCAACTCAAAGCTGTCAACGTCCACATTCCATACCCTCGCATCGATCAACCTCTGTACCTTACCAACACCAGCCATCGTCCCACAGCCCTCGGTCATCAGACATGGCCTGACTAATTAGCTGGCAAGTGTGGGCGTTCCTCGGCTCCCTCAGGTCGTCTTGATCAAATCGGCGGCCTGTCGAAAGTTAGTCTCTTGTTTCCCGCCTACCAAAGCAACATGGGCTCACCTTCTCAGCAATGGCATACACGGCCATCGATGTCGTCGCGCCCACAATCGTCGGCATGATGGACCCATCAATCACCCTCAGGTTCTTTGTGCCGTGCACCCTGAGGTTCTCGTCGACGACACCGCCGTGCTCCCTCGGCTGCTTCGAGCACGTACCCACCGGGTGATACACCGACGGGATGACCTGGCCCCTGGCCCACTGGATCAGCTGCTGGTCGCTGCTGACCCCCGTGCCCGGCGACGTCTCTCTGGCGTTGTACTGAGCCAGCTGGCCCGTCGTCATGTACCGCCGCATGAACTTGATTGTCTCGATCATGACCTCGAGGTCCACGTCGTTGGTCGCCGCCCGGTAGTCGATGATCATGTCTCCCTCTGGGTTGGATGGGTTGATGAGGATTGTCCCGCGCGAGTGCGGGTGCAGGTTCTGTACACTGCCGCCAGGTCCGAACATCATCATCTCAAGGAACACAACGTTGGTCGAACGCATCAGTCGCGCGTAAATCTCCTGCTGCTTCCGGTACCCTGCAATCTGCTCCGCCGTGTAGCTTGACGGCAGGTGGCTCGTGGGGTTCTGGCTCTCGTATCGCGTTGCGAGCTGCTGGTACCGCTGCGGACTGACCACCGGCAGACCGATCATGGCCGCGAGCGCCGGCGCACCGCCCTGCGTCGGGAACCCCGGGAATCCGCCGCCGCCTCCGGGCGTCGTGCCCCACTGATACGCGATGCTGGGAATGTAGCTGTGGTCCTGGAAGTTGCTGCCAACGCCTGGCAGGTCAACGCGCACGGGAATCCGGGCCTGCTGGAGCAATGCCTGGGGTCCGACGCCGCTGAGCATCAGCACCTGCGGTGTGTGCACCGTACCGGCCGCCAGCAGGACCTCACGGCGCGCGCGCACCTGCGTCGCCGGTCCGCCCGTTTGGTTGCGGCTGACAAACTGGATCCCCGTCGCCGTGTTGTCAGCGCCCCAGAGGATGCGGTTGACCTTGGCACCGACAACCATCTGGTAGTTGGGCCTGCTGATACCGTGCCAGTGACCTGTGCGGGAGTACGATCGCTGAAAGTTGGTAGGATCCATGGACATGGGATACCAGTAGAGGCCCGCCTGCCCGGCGCCGCTGTCGACGGGGACGGTCATGCCCGGCATGGCAGCCATGGCATTGTAGAGGACCTCTGAAGCACGCATGTCAGCAAAGGTATGGCCTTGGGCGCTGAGACCAACTGTCACTTACTCATGAGCTGTGTCGGAGCATCGCGACCAAAGGTTGCGTAAATCTTGGAGGTTGTGCCCCAGTACTGCATGTCCCACTTGATGTTGAACTCTTGCGCGTGCTGCGGGTTAGGACCAGTAAGGGTGATGCCCTGCATTGCGTCAGCATTTCTTTGTCCTTCCTCTGCTGTGTTTCTTACCTTTCTGAAATACGGCAGCAAGCCCTCCCAGTTCCAGGTCGAGCCTGGTCCACCAAGCTCGGCCCAGGCGTTGTACTCTTCGGACGTCCCGCGCAGGAATACTTGTCCGTTGACGTTGGAACTGCCGCCCACGACGCAGCCAATACCCACGGAAAACGACCGGCCGTTCAGGTTCTGCTGCGGCCGGGACGTGAGGTTGAACATACGGCGGGGGTTCATCCCCGACTGGTTGTCATAGTAGCCATACTCGACAACGAGGACAGAGACTATAATCAAAGTCTCAGTACAACGAATTTTACAGTGAAAAAACAGGCCACGGTAATAGAGGCAACGCACCGCCACTGTTATTCTCAGTCAGGCGATTGCCGACAGTCAGGCCTGACGTGCCGCCGCCGACGATGATGTAGTCGTACTCATTCTGGACCTGGTTCTGGCGCGACAGGATGTTGATGCCGTCCATGCTTGCTGTCGGCCATGATGAGGCCAGTTGCGAGGCCGCGGCCAGGCAGGCGAGGATGACCGCCTTGATGGAGGGCATTTTCAGGTAGGTGCTTCAGATCAGGAAAGGGGGCTTATGCTGGAAATCGAAGGGACTGCTGGCAGGTCAAGGCAGGGCTGGGGTCGACTCTTCAACGACCATTTCATACCGTTTTATATGCCTGCCTGAGCGTTTATCACTTATTCTCGAGACGAAGTCGTCTTTGCCACTCAACATGTCATTCCTCAGCGGCAGGCCGGTTCAGGTGCACGTTGGCCCTTCACCCGTTTCCCATATTCAATTCAATGTCAGAGCATTCCTATCATTGGCCCAACCAGACGATCTGATATGAATGTGCCATCATGAGAACAGCCGGCCAGAGTCATAAAGCACCGCTACGAGCGGGGGTTTAATCCGGCACATGGGAAATAAACTCCGCTGTCAGACCATAAGTCCCGAGGGCGGGGCGAGCGAGAAAGTGCCCGAAAGCGGGGTGTGTCTTCCCGATGTTGAGGAGGAAACCTCTGAGCGGCTAGGGCTCCCCCTTGGTGATCATGTGGGGTAAATGATATTGTCCCAAAGAGGTCGACGGGGAGTTTTGCCAAGCTGTTGCATTGGAGGTGTGCGTTTTGCATTCATCCAGATTAAGGGCGTGGAGGCTTGGGCTCCGAGATCCAGTGTTGCAACGACAGAACTGGGGTTTTGACAGCATGTTTGCTATAGTGTATTGAGCTTTTTGGGGCAATGATCTTCTTGCGGTGTTAACTTGGTCACGAGTCGGTTCGAGGGAGGACTCGGACTTGTTCTCAAGAGCTTGGTTGCTCAGCCAGGTTGGACGAGGGGCGCTCTCTATCAATCGAGAAGGCATACACATTGAGTACTTGAAGTGATTGAGGGTTTTGACTACACTTTAGAGTTTCAACGAGTAAAATATCGCGAGATCAGGTTTGCAGCCTCTAGAAGGACGCAGGCGAGAACGTAACCCTAAGCTGCACATGTGTTCTGTACACCTGAAGAAATATACGCCGAATTCACAGATCTGCAATCGTCTCTACCACTTCTTTTGCAAAACACTTTACAGACTACAAGTCGCACTATGAAAATCGTTGAGAGGTCTCGTCATAGAAGACACTGCAGCTTCTACGGTTTTCAATCATTGAATCACTACGCAAAGGATGGCTACCATAAAAAATCAATGTAGGATTTTTCATGTACCCTAACAAGAGGGAACCTCTACACAAGTGTTGTGAGACTTCGTGATGATTTGCAGAGGCAGCCCACAGAGGCAGCCCCTGAATGGATGCCGTGTGGCTGCAACAGCCAACCGTACTGCACGGGCCTTTGACTGCACCTGGGAACAAACGTGGCCCAAACATCGTGAAGGTCACAAAACAACGTCACAGACATTTACAACCAGATACTCATCTGTGGTCACCTTACGGCAGCCTCATCCCTGACTGTGAACTGAGATCCATCAAGATATTCAACATGTCGCAGCCAGATCCGTATGCGGCCTTTCACCCCCCGGGCGTTCGTCAAATCGATGTCGAGGAGCTCAAAACGGAGCTTGATGGCCTCTCACCACGGATCTTTGCGGCATGGAACCAGCTGCAAGAAATTGTGAAGCGACATGAAGCGACGATTCAAAACCGCTGGTCGCGAAAATCCAAGTCGAAACGCAAGGCTCTCCTCCTCGAAGTGCTGCCGACGATCCCGAAGGACCATCTCCCTGACGTGGAGGCCTGGAAGAAGAAACCCAAGAGCATCATCGTTGACACGGAGAATGCCGATGCTTATTTGATGCCATATATCAACCTCGAAGACTTGTCGAAGACGGAGCCGCTGCTGATCATGCTCAACGCTAGGGCTAGGAATGGGCCTGATGAGTTCGCCCACTCGGATGTGGCGGCCTACCGCACCGGCTTGGTTACGCAGAGCATCGACCGACCCTTTTTGAACCTGTATGTCATGATGGTCAGAGGGAGGAAGACGCCGGAGACGTACGGAGAACTGTACCACTTTGACGACCATGAGGATGCCTCAGACTGGGCGTTCGAAGCACGAGGCCTCACGCCTGGCGATGGCCTCAATTGTCTCAAGATTCAGGCTAAGCTCTACGAATTTCTGCAGCGATTCTGTTTGAAGCTCCTCCACGACATACCTGAAGGCGACCTCATCGGACCCGGTTACCCGGTGACGGACGAGCCTCCACCAGTCTCTGCCAACAGTGCCGAGGCGGGAACCACATCGCTGTCCATCACCTCGCTCGAGTCAGCGTACCGCCTGCCAGCTCGCATAGACCTCGATCGGCTAGAGGCCGTCGTGATAGCGCAGGTTGCCGAGCTCGAGGATGAACTGTGGGCACTGCGTGAGGACCCCGAGGCCTTTGCCAACACAATCCTCGAGACCAAGGAGCACCGCCAAGAGATGCTTCTCGACACCAACGGCAAGCCGCATCCAATTCATGAACCATCACGTATCCATGTATTGTGGGAACGTGTCATTACCAGTGTCATCGTGGACAAGACCGTCTCTGTTGGTCTGTGGCACATTGTGTTGGAAAAGGTGCACACGCTGCGCCGCGCTCTGGATGCGCACAAGAACCAGATTGACCCTGCAGAGGATCTGCCCGAGAAGCTGGCAATGGCGTTCTACGAGCTCTTCTCCATCCTCGAGAGGATGGAAGCTGGCCCAGTGTCAACTCTGAAGATTTCATTTCCAGGTTCTCCACCGATGCGCAGCCTGTTCCAGAGAGAACCAGCGCCCAATGCACACACGCCCATGATCAACACCGTGTCGAAGCCGGATGCAGCCAACAAAATCGAGCAAGAGTTCATCTACATAATGGGCATGATGTGGGACAACCAGAAGCGTCACATGTTGACGACCAAGGGTCTGCTGGACATGCTGAACAGCCTGCTCCAGAAGGAACCTTCGGCCAATGCGCTTTTGACGCCCTATATCCAGGAACAGCTGGGCCACTTTGCCCTCATTACAGAGTGTCTTCACCAGCTTCAGCTCTTCCAGCCCTGGGCTGACACGTTTGAGCACAAGATCAACGAGTCTAAGGACCAGATCAACAAGGACTTCGCCGTCAAGACGCAATGGATGACTGCCATCAGTCAGATGAGCCTCGGCAAAACTTTTGTTCATCTCGGCGTTCCAACAGACGGGCGATTCCGCTACCCAGCTGCAAAGGCAAAGACGAAGGAGAACGTCGAGGCAATGCGATCCGCCGAGGCCTCGCTCGATGCCTTCTGGTCCTCGTTCCTCCAGACGTACCAGCACACGCTGAGCCCTCGCATCCGTGACATTCTCATCCACAGGGAGCGTCAGCGCACGAAACCATGGGCCGAGCCCATCAAAACCACCCCCGCGGCCAAGGGACGCGACGCCCAGCTCGCGGCCTCAGTCGGCGGCCTGCACCTCAAGGAGCAGCAAGTCTCGCCTGCGCCCGCCAAGACGAAGACCAAGACGCGGGGCGCCTCGGCGCCAGAGAAGGCCGACGCGCAGCCCGTCGCGCCCGCTCCGCGCAGCGACGCCGCGCAGAAGACGATCCAGGTCGACAAGCGCGCCCTCAAGGTCTTCAACGCGCTCTTCTTCTCGAGCGACCCGAACCAGCAGGCCAGCGAGACCAACTGGAGTGATTTCTTGTACGCCATGACGAAGACTGGGTTCGCGACCGAGAAGATTTACGGCTCTGTCTGGCAGTTTACGCCGACTGGCCTCGAGAGCAAGAAGCCTCTGCAGCTTCACGAGCCGCACCCTTCGAGCAAGATTCCGTTTTGGCTGGGCAGGAGGATCGGCCGCCGGCTGAACAGGACGTATGGATGGGACCGGGCCATGTTTTCAGCGTAGGCCAGAGGCAGAGTTTCATCATTGGCGGTTTTCCACGTAGAAGTGGTATGCTTTGTATGTGCCACTCACATGAGCGCAAAATCCATTTACAAGAATTGGCCGATCCCACTTGGAGAATGAACAGCCATAACACTAGAAATGCGACCACTCGATGCCAGATCGAGTGCAGCGCTTCCCATGATCCTATTCCTGGTTGCTCCCCAGACCCCCAAACCCGACGTCGCCGCTCAAGACACAGTCATGGTGGCGCTGCCGGAGCTCTTGTAGCCCTCGACGGCCAGGATCTGGTAGTCGTGGCTCCCCAGGTTCATGCCGGCCTTCTTCCAGGCGGCAAAGTGGGCGCCCGTGTTGACGGAGCCGCTGGTGCGCTTGGTGCGGCGGACGGACCAGAACTGGGTGAAGGTGCGGGTGCCCTCGATGGAGGGGGCGTTGGTGCGGGTGCTCGTGTAGAGGTCGTAGACGGAGCCGTCGACGGTGAACTGGCCCTTGCTGGTGGCGCCGGTCGAGGGGTTGTAGGTGCCGAAGCTCTCGACAATGTAGTACTCGATCAGGGGGCTGCGGGTCCAGCCGTAGATGGCGAGGTAGCTGTTGCCGTTGGGCTTGTACGAGCCGGAGTACTTGATGGTCCTGTGGGGAGCTAGAGGTCAGTCGACGTGAAGCAAGAAGTGGGAGACTCGGATGAGAAGGATGAGGGTAAACTGACCTGGCGCTGCCCGTACGCCAGCCCTTGCCGCCGACGTGGTTGCCATTGTTGTTCTTCCAGCTGACGCTGAACTTTCCGGCGTCGCCGTTGGTGTAGGTCACGCTGTTGGGGGTATCGGTCCAGAAGGAGTAGTAGAAACCGCCCGAGGTGCCGGTAGAGCTGGGCGTGCGCTTCGCCAGAGCAGTATTGACCTCGGGGACGACGGCAATGGGGCTGGTCAAAACGCCGCTCACCACCGAGAAGGCGGCCAGGAGAGAAGTGAACGAGACCATGATGAACGAATGTGAGTGAACGAGTGTATAGTAATCAACAAAAAAGCGAATGTAAGTAATGTCTGTCCAAGAAAGCCAATGCCAAGCTAAGAACAAGACCAAAAAGGGCCCGGCTTCGCGGTAGGCCAAGGTATTTATGCCAGATTCAACAACAGCGGCCATCCGACCAGCATTCAGTGGACAGGCTGCTCCGGGTGGCGCCTTCAGGAACATGGCCGTTGATCTAT